CCTCCCTCCCCACACTCGTAACCATCAAAGAATGTTTTCTTCGGTGTTTAAACCTTTTCTTGAGTTCTTTTAATAGTGTTCTTATACATTATTTGTCCTTTTGTGACTGACTAAATTCACTCAGCATGATGACCTCCAGCTTCCTCCATGTTATGTTTCATAGCTTCATCGTTGTTCTTTTATCATTGCGTGGTATTCCATTGTGTGGATGTACCATAATTTGTTTATCCATGCGTCCGTTGATGGGTACCTAGGTTGTTTTCATCTTTTTGCTGTTGTGAATAGTGCTGCAGTGAACGTGAGTGTGCATATATCTATTTGTGTGACGGCTCTTATTTCTCTAGGATATAGGGAACCTCATTATTTAAAGGATGAGCAAGAGAATGAAAGCCTGTGAAGGAGACTAAAAAGAAATGGACAGAGTTGAGGGGGAACCAAAATAGACTGCTATCAAAGGAAAGGGAGGAGAAGGTTTTAAGGAAGAAATGGGCAGCAGCAGCAGCAGCAAATGCTTCAGAGAGGTGCTGTACTACAAAATTAAAAAGTAGCAAAGTGGTCATAGGAGACCTGTGTGAGAGCAGTTTGGTGCAGTGGTAGGAAGGAAGCTGGATTACAGGAGTGGATGAAAGGTTAAGGAGTATTGACCCTGAGCAGGGCCAATTTTCAGAAAACTCCTTTGTGAAAGCAATGAGAGAGGCGGTGGTAGCTAAAGGGAGATAATGTGGTTTTGCTTTTGTGTAACGAATGGTGGGGAATTGAGTTTGAAGAAGGGCATACAACAGTGAAATTGCTTAGTGCGTTTTTCAGGGTGTTGAAGAAATGTTGAGGCTGAGTATATATATGATCTCTGTGAGGTGAAAGAGAAGGGGGTATGGGTGATGACAGTGGAAAAGTTTTAAACAGTCTTGACAGGCATTATGTAGAAATGTTGACTTTTATCTAATTGTTTATGGAGAGTCAAGAAAGGTTTTAAACATCTGGGTCTCCTGTAAGAGTCTGTACTATAGAAATATTACTCTGGCAGTAGCAAGGACTGTGGACTAGCACGTGGCTAGACTGACGGCAGACAGATTGCCTTATCAAGTAAGAACTGATGAGAGCCTACATTAGGGCAATAGCATGGAGGAGGGAGAAGAGCTGGTGAACTTGATGGAATAATTCAGAGGTGGAGTGAACACAACTTGTAGTAATGTAATGAAGGAGGACATGTATAGAACCTGGAGGTTTCTAGCACAGTTGACTAGGTGACTAGTGAACTTATATTAGGACCCAAAAGAAAGAACAGGCATTTGGGAGTAGAGTGTGAGTTACAGCTTTATTGAGATATAATTCACATACTGTACAATTCACCCATTTAAAGTGTTCAATCTGAGGGTTTTAGTGTATTCACAGAATTGTGCAGCCATCACCACAGTGAATTTTAGAACATTTTCATCACCCCATAAAGAAAACATTAACAGTCATTCCTCATTTCACCCCGGTGTTCACCCCCTACCCTCCAGCCCTAGATAACCACTAATCTACTTTCTGTCTCTATGGATTTGCCTATTCTGGACATTTCATATATATATGGAATTACACAATATGTTATCTTTTGTGCCTAGCTTCTTTCATTTAGCATAATGTTTTTGAGGTTCATCTTTGTAGAGATCACTTTTTCCCATTGTATTGTACTTACCTCTTTACATTACCTTATCTTCTACACTGGAATGTAAGTGCCTTGAGGGCAGGGACTATTGTTACATGTTCCAGAGCTGTATCTAGCACATATATATATATATTTTTTGTATTTTATTGTACTTCAGGTGAAGGCTTACAGAACAAATAGTTTCTCATGAAACAGTAGTACACATGTTGTTTTATGACATTGGTTAACAACCCCACAACATATTAACCCTCTAAATTCTCAACCTTTTTTTTTTTTTTTTGGTGAAAATACACATAGCCAAAGATACACCGTTTCAAAAATTTCTACATACACAGTTCGGTGACATTGACTACGCTCTTCCAATTGTTAGCACATATTTTTGTATTTAGTTATGGCTTGTCAGATATTTGGTACATCATAAGTTAAAGGGTTAACTCATTTAACCACAAAAATTAAGTTATCCAGAATGAACTGTTCCCCACACATGCTTACGTATCAAGATGTGGCTATATCTGATGTGATGGAATAGGGAGGCATCTTGCCAACAGTGATCCTGCCCTGGTTCTGCCATTAACTCTTGTGTGACCCTGAGTAAGTCGTTATACTCTCTGGAAACACTTTCCTTATCTGAAAAGGGAGATAAAAATTTCTACCTGATCTGAACTGAGGAATAACTAAGATAATTCAAGTTGATGGGATTTGGGGTTCATCCAGACAGTTTCTGTGCAAAACTGAATAAATGTTTGACTCTTATTACCTAATCTTCCTGGAATAGGAATAGTCCCTCTAAATAGAGTTTTCTCAAGGGATTAGGTATTTTGGCCCCTTGAGTCTTTTCAGCCCCCATTTTGAAGGTCTTTGGTTTTGTCTGTGGCATACTGCTTCTCTTGTCACCAGCCTGGAGCATCTGACATATCCCATCTTCCTCTCTGGAATACTTAAGACACTCATTTTTTGACACTAACCAAATAGACTCCCTATTTTGCATAACTTCCTATTTCTTCTTAGTTTCTACTGTTTTAATAGGCTATATGTAGTTGAATATACAGGAAAAAAAAAAAGATTTAAAACCTACCATATCCACCTACCCCAAACAAACAACTTATAAGTGCAATTCCCCACACGGAGAGTTGTTCATGTTTTTATTTAGAAAACATATATTGAGTGTGTACTTGAGTGCCATGTGACAAGATAAATAAAATAGTCTTTGACTTCCAAAACCTCATAGCAGTTAGTGGGAGGAAGCAAACATATAAACAGATAATCACAGTATAGTGTGAAAGGTGTGATGGCAGAGGGATATACAAGTGGTTATGGGAGCACTGGGAGAAGTGGTCAGGACAGTGTTTTAAAGCCAGCATCACCTGACATTTCTGCAGTAACAAGTATAACACAGAAGCAGCCCAGTGAAGAACACCTGCCTTCTGTGAGCCTCATAACAACTAGTGAGGCTGAGGTTCTGATCTCATTTTAGACAGTAATCTAAAGCTTAGAAAGGCTCAGTGGCCGACTCTTAGATTCTAGATTCAACTTCTGTGTTTGTCCTGTCCCCCTACCCCCCACCACATTCATGTCCTTTCTTTGCAGCGCATAGAAAGTACCCATGTAGAGTACCACAGTGCCCTGTTATCCCCTCTCCTTTAGTTCTTCCTCCTTAAGCAAAACTAGAGTCTCAGATTCCCCTTCGCTGTGTCTAGCCTGCTTCCTGTGTCTTCGGTGCATTGAGCATTCCAGGGCTATGGCAGTAGTGAATATTGCTGATGTCATTGTTTGCCTTATTGGGATTTTGCTCTTTGTTTCACAGGGAGCTGTGATTGGTATAGACGATGAGGACGACAGCACCTTCACAATAACTGTTGATCAGAAAACCTTCCATTTCCAGGGTGAGCTGAAAGAAGAGATTCTTTCTCTTCATAGTCCCAACTGCTTCTTTCCTTCTCTTGTGGGTTGTTTGCTGGATGACTTGAATGGTTTTGCAACAGATCCTGCATGAACCGGTGCACAGGAACATTCTGGATGAAGTGGTACTGCAGGTTAGGCAGGGATTTGTATCTGTCTGCAGTGGATACAGATCTGTTTGAAACAACTGTGGATCTGGCTGCAATTGGAGATTAAAAATTTAAAGGATAAAAATCAGTGAAGGGAGAGAGTAATGGGCTGCTGCTGCTGCTGGCTTGTGTTTACAGAAGGTTGCTGATCTTCTTTATTGAGGAGTATGGTTCTCCTTCTGCATGAAGAGTCTAAAGACTGATATTAAGGTTGCCGTGTTTGTCTGCATAAAACTTGAAGTGTAAATTAAATTGAAGCTAGTGGCAACCTTTGGCTTAACGATTTTGCTTTGCTTCAAGAACTGCAAGTTTGCATTCATTTCATCTGCATTTCTGTGTCTTGTCTGCCAGCCGTCGTTTCTTTGCTGTTATCATTTTTATAGTTAATAACACCAATGCCATCTGTCACTGCTATGTTTCGGCATTGCATGCTATGGTTCACCGGTAGAAAGGGTAAGGTACTATATGATCATTCTCATTTCATCTTGCTTTGAAAATTCTAAACTAGCTAATAAAACTCAATTTTAATGATCCTGTTCTAATGTACCTCTCATCTACTAAGAGTGTCTACTGGCTTTAGTACAAATGTTTCTATTATTTTGCCAATTTAGAGTAACCTCTATTTTATGCTTAAAGCAGCCCAAGAAACTTAGAAATGAGAATTGGAGATGTTAGTACTTTCTTTGTCACAGATGACAATGTACTGTGATAGATGCTATGTATTCCAAAATAAATAAATACTAAGTAAATTGTCCTGATTAATTATAGCTTAAAAATGTTTTGGTTATAAAGTGTAATAGTGACCAGATACGTTATGACAGGTGTTCAGACAGCTATTGTCCTTCCATGCTAGGATAGATAGTATATTGCAATTTTTTTTTATTGTCTGTTTAAGAAATTGATATAGAAATGAAAGATGCAGCTTGTATATAATAAAGACAAACCGGTACACTCAATAGTGATATCTGTAATATTTTCTCCTGCTCATTCTAAAAAAAATTTACTGTATTGGTCATATTATTTATTTACAGCTGATGCTGTCCAGAAATTTCCCATTCCATTTAAACCTTGTAAAGGATTTTAAATTCCATTATAAAGCACAGATTCTTTATTTTTAAGTTAAGTATGTGGTGCTGCTTATAAACCAAAGTAGATAATTCCCACACACTGGAACTCTTTACTTGAATGAAGTTGAGCACTTTAATGCATTTCAACTAAGAGCTACTGGATGCAGGTGAAGGCTGCAGTATGGAATTCTCTCCTCTGCAGTTACTAAGGAGACACCTCCTTTGTACTTCCAGAAGCTGTATTGTTTGCTTGTTTAAAGGAGAAGAGACTCAGACCTGTACAGCAAAAACACCTCCACCTTCTAATTTGCTGTTAAATAATTCACGTTAAGCTCAGCTCCCTTTTAACACTACCATATTTATGTGGTTTGCTTGTGAGATGAGCAGTTTCTCTAATGAATGTTTTAAATTGTAAGGATAAGTAAGAGTGATGTGCATTTTTAAAATGGATTCTTTGATCTGAGACTATCAGATTGATGTTTTTCTGCTGTAATAGTTATGGGCATCTCAGGCAACAGGAGATTATTTGTCTTTTGCAAAGAACCCAATAAGACTGTATTTATTTTTCGGCAACAGTGAGAGTTATTTCATGTTCATAGGTCCTTTTAAGAAGATCTTCACAAATGTGATAAAAAGTTCTTAATGTCCCTGTGGATCTTATATTCTTGATTACAATTGAAGACAAATTTGACTGATATATTAACATACATTTAAATGTGTTAAAGTTTTTATTAATGTACCAGAATTTTTTAAAGCAAGGTATCAACTGATGCAGCTATAAAACAAATTCATTTTACTGTGAACTATTAAAGGGAAAGCTAGAATTTATTAATACATTAATTTATTCATTTAACATCTATTTTAGATATTCTAAGTTCTAGGGATATAGTGGTCAAAAGCCAGATAATACTCCTTGCCCTCTTGGGTTATCTATCTATTCTGGTAGAGGAGAAAGCCAATAAATAAAGTAAATTGGTGACATAGAAGTAAATAAGAGAATGATAAGTCCTGGGGAGGGGGAAAAAAAAGCAGGAAAGGAGAAAATGAAATAGAAGTGAGGTTGGGGTAGGGTGCTGAAATTTTAGATAGGGTGGCCAGACTCACTGAGATGGTGCCTTTCGGTGAAAGACCTGAAGGAATTGAGGGAACAAGCCATGTGGCTATGTTGGGAGTGGAGGGAACAGTAAGTGCAAAGGAGTGTATGCCATATTTGAAGAACATCACTGGTTGGAATGCAGATAACCATGGGTGAGAGTAGTGGGAAAGAGGTAACAAAGAGCCTGATCATGTGAGGTCTTATAAATCACAATAAAGACATTGACTTTTACTGAGATGAGAAGCCATTAGAGGGGTTTTGAGCAGAGTGACATGTTGTGATTTATGTTTTAACAGGATTACTCTGGCCACTGTGTTGAGTGTAAAATGCAGGGGAGCAAGGACAGAAGCAGGGAAACTACTTAGGAGGCTATTGTAATCCAGAAGAATGATGGTGGTTTCCAACGTCATGGAAGCTTTCACTATTGTAGCAGTGAGTGTAGAAAGGTAATGAGAAGTGGTCCAATTGTGTGTGTGTGTGTGTGAGTGTGTGTGTGTGTTTAACCAACTTCATTGAGGTATAATTAACATACACTTAAATGTAAACATTATACACGTCTATGAGTTTTGTCATTTATTCACTCATATAAGTGCCACCACAATCAAGATATAGAACATTTCATTTTCATCACTCCAAAGATTCCTTTATGCCCCTTTCAGTCAATCCCCACTCCCAGCCCCCAGGCCCAGGCAATCACTGATTTGCTCTCCACATAATATTTTTAACGTTCATCCATGTTGTTGCATGTGTTAGTCATTAGTTCCTTTTTTTTAATTGCTAAGTAATAGTCCATTGTATGATATTGTATTTATTTTGAAGATAGAGCTATATAGCATGCGAGAGAAAGGAGTCACGACTGATATCAAGATTTTTGGCTTAAGCAACAATAATGGAAGTTGCCATTAACTGAGATGGGAAAGATGGACTGCAAGAGCAACTAGTTTTTGTGTAAGGAGTGGGTGAGTGGGCATCAGGAGCTTAGTTTTGGACATGCTTATTAAATAAGGTTTAGATGTCTGTCAGACATCCAGATGGAGTTGTCAAGTAGGCAGCTGAAGTCTGGAGTTCTGGGAAGTTTGGGCTGGAGAAATAAATTTGAGTGTCATGGGCATACAAATGGTATCCAAAGCCATGAGACTTAGGGAGTAATGTAGAGAGAAAAAAGAAGAGGTCCAAGTACTGAGCCCCAGAGCACTCCAGCATTTCCATAGAGAGCACAGAGATGAGCCAGAACCAGCAAAAGCAATTGACAAAAAGCACCCAAAAAGGAGGAGGAAAACCAGCCGAACGTGGTACCCTAGAAGCCAAGAAAGTGTAGGAGAGAGGATTGGCAGCTATGTCAAATGCTGCTGATTGATTAAGTAAGATGAGGACTGAGAAGCGATCACAGGGTTTAACAATGAGGAGCTCATTGGTAACCTTGAGAAGAGCGATTTTAAGATAGTATAATTTTAAGAGGAGTTCCTGGGTGACACAAAAAGTTAACCTCTCCAGTACAAACTAAACCAAAAGGTTGGCAGTTCGAACCCACGCTGTGGCATCTCAGGAGACAGGCCTGGAGATCTGTTTCCTTAATGTCACAGCCTTGCAAACCCTATTCAGCAGTTCCTCTCTGCACATATGGGGTCGCTGTGAGTTAAAATAAACTCCATGGCAACTAATAACAACAATAACAATTTTAAGATAGTATAGATAGGGCTTTCTGGTTCTGCTGTAAAGGGAAGGTGAGGAGTACAATAGTAGTTGGATTGGGGAGTGAGAGCAAGGGAGGTTTTGTTTTGTTTAAGTAAGAGAAATAATAGTATGTTTGTATTTTGGTGGTGGTGGTTCAGTGAAGAGGGAGAAAATTGGTGATGCAAGAGAAAAAGGGGAGAATTGTTGGATCAATGTCCTTGAGAAGGCAAGAGAGAATAGAAGATGGGACCTAATGCACAGATAGGGCAGTCTCTTTTGTTAGGAGCACAGACAATTCATCCATAGGAACAAGGGGGAAGATTAAGTGTACAGAAATGTATGTAGGTAGGTGGTTACCCACCACCTTCATGCCCACTGTGGTTTAGATGGCTAGTTGCCCTACATGGCTTGTATCCTGAGACATCATTTGTTTATAGTAAAGAGGACTGGTGCCAGGAAGAGAACAAACCTCCCTGAAACAATAGATAACTTGATAGATAATCATTGTGATTCTAGTTCTGGTAACTTGATATTCTAGGACATATCCAATTTTAAAGAGACGCCATAAAATTCTCAAAACAAAGTCAATTATCTTTAATTTTGAAAAAGAAAGAAATGTGCTGTATGTTTTTTCTTTTGTGTGTGTGTTGGGGGGTTGTGGGGGCAGGAGAGAAGGCAAGAATTGAAATTGCAACCCTGTGATAGTAGAGCTTTAAAAAGATTTTAAAACTACAACTTTATTCCATCCTTAATCAGAGATTAAAAAGAAAATATTTGTCAGATTATCTTTACAAACAAGCTCTTTTTTCTTTTGAAAAAGGGCAAAAAATGATACGTTTCCTATCAGTCAGCCAAAGTTGTTTACATATAAATTCTTTTGGGTGGAAAGCAGTTTTGATATTAGACCAACTGTTGCATGCAAACATTTATCGAGTACATACTGTGTGTAACTCCCAGTGCTCAGAAGTTTACCTGAGTGTATGCAGGTAAAGAAAACT